ATCGTCTGAGAAGACAAATAAAAATTCTCTCAAGTGTACCCACATGCAGCTATACCTAGCTACATGAGCTACACAACTGTTTACTATGACTGCGATTATCTGACTGGCTTGCATGACGCTTGAAGCTTCGATACGAAGCGTGTGGGCGTAATTAGTCACGGATACATCTTTCTCATAAGCAAGCTTCATTTCGGCATGTTCATCATCCGAATTCGCTGCGCAATCGAAACTTTTCGATAAGAACCGCTTTTTGCCCCATTGCTGAACGGCCCTTTTAGAAGAAGTTAGACACATAGGTGATGGATTAAGACCATAAGAGTGATTTACTCTGTCTCAAGTATTTATTACATATACAAATGCCTATATAACAAAAAAAACCTAAAAAGTAACACTGACGATTTAGACTGCCACGTCATCATTGTCGTCGTCGTAATCACAATTAACAATAGCAGTCACAACGCTGATTTTCACTCGACCAGCAGATCTTCTAATCGTGATAGTTTAAAGTGGCTCCGCATAGGATAAATCGGATAGGAGCGTCCAGCAGAGAGTTGAGCAGTGTATCAGGTGCGCCTTTCTGTAGACATATGCGGTGGCCAGGTCATGCTATCGCGCAATCGGCACTTGTTCAGCCGTCGCCCATCCGAGTACCCCAACAACAAACGGACGACAGATCAACGAAGCACAGAGCTGACTAGAGTAGTCGGGGGGCGTCCCGCTCGCTGCTGTCAGGTGGTAGCTGAAGTAGCTTCTGTGTGGCCGTCAATGGCGGATGACCAACTAGAACGTGTAAGAGACCATATCAGCATGTTTGCTTATCCGTTGGCGTGCGTGTATGTGTACATACACGATTCAACGAGCCCGATCCAACTGCCTTACGAACTGCTTAAGGGAGGTCTCGTGTCAAAGGATGTCATTACTGTTTGTTACCAGATGATCTATTGTAAGGTACCAGTTGTAATTATTTTGTGTGTTACTCAATCTGAGGTGTGGTTTTTTTCTGATTAGAATAGTCCCGTGAAGCTAGAATCACAGTTACATACCGTTTTCCATGTTAGCACTTGTACCGACGGCCAGAATAGCCCGCTCCTGAAGAGTTCTATATCAGTATTTGTTATACTTAAAGGAGGCAGATTTGTACCCGCTGCATATGTTTTTATTTGTGTGTGAGCGTGTCCATGTGCTTAGTTATAGACAGTTCACAAAAGATTGCTTTTAGCCAATCAACGGATGGGCTACATCACAAGCACCATCAATGCCGGAACAGCTGTCCAGAGAATTGTGCGAACTGGCCTTAACCTATCCTAACTATTCTATTTCGCTTTACATAGCCTCTTTTAGATCGGTTTCCTTCTGTGACTGGAAGGATTAGCCCAGCATTCGACGACTGTCACAGCTCTTTTCACTCGATCAGCCCTGTGGTCACCGTTTACCCCCTGTTTCACAATACTCCGTAGAGTAGTATAATCGACCACCCCTAGAGAATCTCTGCGGACGTGCGCGACACACAATAACAGCAGTGGCGAACAGTCTCTCCCTCTTCATCGCTTTACTTAGGCAGTTCCTGGACCGGTCGGTATGCTGCCGGGGAGACCAAAACGAGCAGCTTTCCGCCATTTGCTGCTGATCAAGTACGCGGAACGGAACAACGAGATCGAATTGACGGACGGACGAACAAACTTTGTAGGTTCGACTTTGGCTTATTTGGCTCCGATATATGCGATTGACTTACCAGATAACGACTAGTTATCCCTGTACGGTTGCCTTTGTCCTGAAAGCGGGCAACCAGTGCGCACACATTGTTACTTAGCTCTTTTTAACCTAACTTAGTCGTTTCCTCTCCCACTGTCCCAGTAGTGTAGCTCGGGCACAGTGTGACACTGACTCCCGAGACACTGCCAGTTGCTGCCGTCCACTAGTTTAACCAAAGGGGTAAATCTACCTAGAAAACGAAATCTCCTATTCAACATGATCTAAGGACAGGCAAAAGGAGATCCCCCCCCCCCCCCCCCAAACAGCTAAAAGGAAAAAGAATCGCCAGCACAAATCGGCGCTAAGAACTGCTAGTTCAACTGAAATGGCAGAGCTTATCTCGGAGTGAAGAATCCTCAAAGTTAGAGGCTGTCAATAGCCGTTTGCGGCAAGAGGGACCGGTAAGGTCGAAAGGCTAAGTCGTCTATAGCGACTCGGTGGGGAGAAAGTCCACTAAGAGATTCAACTTGCTATATATTTTTACGGATGAGCGCAAGAAACTGGGATCAGAATATACCAACCTTGTATATGTTTTTTTTTTTTTTTTTTTTAATCATATACAGCGTGGTTTGTAGCGCACAGATTCGTAGAGTCCCGCGGTTGTTTACATTATTTGACCTGATCAACTAGTTAGCAAGTTACATGTGAACAAGTTCCGTTAGCGGCTGCAACAACAATATTTATTTACTCCGAATAACTAAGCGTACTCGTAAACAGACGAAGAGAACTATCTGATTCGCCGTGCTCGTACAAAACGTTACTTCATTTATACGCTGTGCAGAGTTCAATGCTGGCAAGGCTGAACGTCTGCGCAACTATACAAACGGAATTAAATATTGTTTGTGTATTTTAACGAACATTGTACTGCATACACAGGTGTCAGGCAGAGAAAAATGAGCGCAGACGACAAGAGACTTACCCGCTTTCAATTCCTGCTTTACCTTAACAGATCTATCTAGCATCAAATACCAGATGTTTCAGACCATTTTGGGAAGCGCCGTTCGTCGCATTACAGCTGCCTTTAACTACCCCGGGCAAAATATCGCCTCGGCTTTCATGTGTCTAGCACGTTATATATAGCGTTCAGGTTTCGTAACCGACGACGCATCCGCCGGCGCACCATCATCGAGGCTTTGTTTTTCCCGGTGACAGCTTCAGTATGAAGTTCATTACTGCCGACGTTCTTAGCCCGATTTCTGCCAGGAGAAAGAAAAGGCAAGGCCGTTACCACAAAAAGACGCCAACGTATCGATGTGTCGTGCGTGCACGTAACGAATGTCAACGATCCAGATAATAGAGCAATGTGACAGAACGTGCTTTTGTCGCTAGCTAGGTTTCCGAGCACGCATACAGCACGTGTCGCATTATGTTGCCACTCTACATAGCTAACAACATGTAAGTACGCTAGTAGTAATAGCATCGGTAACAACAATAACAGCCATATCAACAATGGTAAAAATAGTAGCGTTTGGGTCGCCGGAAGAGACAGCATCTGCACAAAAACGAAATGATAACGTTCCCACGTACACTATACAGTTTATCGTGCATTCTGAACGAGTACAGCAGCCATAGAACACAAAGCTAAATATTGATCGCACAGATTAGCTTATCAGCATCCGTAAATAACGGTTACGCAAACGGTTAGCACAGAAACAACAACAACAATTGCATTGGGGTAATACTAATTCATGCTGAACTGTGCTTTAAATAGAGACTAGGCGGCGTTCGGCCCGTTGCCTAACATATCTATAAAGCCATTATAACCGTAAGAATATTTACTTACCGATGGAAACGCCGAACGATACCCTGCTTTGTTAGTTCACGCGGGTGTTTTTCGAGAGGACATAAAGGACCACTGAGGACGTGCAGGACGGCAATTTTTTTATCGATAGTATTTACTAGATTCGCTCACAGCTCAGCATAACGGTACCTGTTTCTGTTCTAACCGATTCAAATAGTCTACTTATGCAGTCATCTAATGCAAATTAGATCGTCTAATATTATTGGTCTACCTATGGTGAAGCACAAGGAAGACCGATAAGGAGATATCACATGTATTTAGCACAGCCGACGGAACAACAGGAACTTGCACCACGCACTTTTCCCCTTTGGTACATAACTACCGTCGGCGCTTTGAACGACGGCCTCAGCAATAAAAATGCCGCACATCGACGGATCTAGATATCGCTGTGTGGATAGATTTTCGAGATATCAACTCGTGGTCTATATACTTAAGTGTACTGTAGAAGGTTCAAGCCTTTACTATGTCAAACACCATGTTGACAACACGTTGACTGCTGTATAATCAGTATGGAAGTTATTGTGATCATCAAAAATAAAATGAAGGCTGTGTTTTTGCTAAACCTTTGATGTAGATGGGACTTTCCCTCGGCTCGACATTGCTCCAATCATTTTCTAACTTATATTAGTAGAGTTAATTCTAGTATATTCTATATAGTTGTCCTTGTAGGACGAAAGATCAATTGTTAAATAACCAATTCTACGTGCTCACTTCATAGAGAGTCACTGTGTACCTCGCTGTCCGCATACAACCGGCTATTTACGTAAATATACTTTTGATTCGAATTAGGAAGACAACATTTGCATGTCCATCGTCTGACGAAGCGTACTTTCCGAGCGACGCGTCACCGGATCAGAGTCGTGTTACCGCTACGGATAGTCCAGCTCGAGTAACGATATTAGCTTGAAGGAACCCTCACCTGCCTATCCGGACTGAACGAATGGCTAGTTCAGGGAGTGGGTGACTCAGTTTAAGCTGAGGATACCGTCACTAGTTTAGCTGCTACGACGACTGCTACTTACTACCCTCTATCCGCCGGACAGTCATGGGAACGCGCTCATTCGAAGACGGTCACATTTGTACTAAATAGAGGATGGGGTCGTGTGAGGTAATGTGAGAAAATTAAGAATATTATTACTTTTTTATACTATAGTTTTTGATTATTAGTTAGTCTTTTCTGTATGAAATTTTATATTACTCCTAATAACTTCGCTAGGCTATAGCATCAGGCTGCTAATAACATTAAGCGTCTGTTGTGCAAAAAAAATGGACAACTCGAAGCGATAAACAAGGTTATCTTTCTTTCATGATGAACTTTATCTAATGGTAAATGGTACGAGTTATTAATAACATAATAACTTAATATTGTTGGAAAATGAAACTCAACCAACTTTACTAAAATAAGTAATCAAAACGTTGCTCGGTTTCAGGCGATAGCGTGAAACTTGTCAGCTGTTAAGGGGTTTCTCAGTCGAGTCGTGTCGGCCGCAACAAGTCGCGTCAGACGCCTGCCAACCTTCAACTCCATATTATCGTTATCCTGCGTGTACGAAGATATCGGCGACAGCGTACGAAATGACCTAGATACGCTCAACCCCAGCTTACAGTTGTTGCCTTCTGTCCAAATAGTCCGGATAGAAAAGCAATAAAGAATAGGCCAACAGATAATAATGATGGCTGAGTAAGTCGCTCTGTGATGACGATACAAGACTGTATAGAGAATGGATCTATACGGCGCTTTGTGATAAACGGTACAGACAGCCAGTCGTAGGAGATCCGGAGGCAGTTTCGAAATTAGCAACTACGCGCCAACATTACAGCCATTTCTCTCCAGCGCCTCTAAGGTAGACATTTTGCAAATAAACCTATCGGTCCCGTCAACTTGGATCATGCAGCTCAAACGGCGTTTGACACATGGACGTTCGGCCTAATCAAACAAAGCGTATTGCACCACGATACTGTGGTGTATTCGGCTGTGGGAAAAGCGTTGACTATCTCTATAGTTGGCTGGCCATTTCAGATTCACGTAACCGCGTGAGGTCGACGCCAGTGTGATCTGAAAGGGCAATAGTAGATGTACTAAAATGCCTTTACCGAAATCTAAGGTGGATAGCCTTGGAGATTGGTGAAATCTCTGAAAAAGTTCACTAGATTTTTTTGTTACTATCACAGGACAGATGAATAGCTCTGAATAATCGGATGACACGAAGAGCTCAAATTGATTTTACCACTACATTAAGTAATCATCATTAACAAATCAGAGACGCGTGACAGGATCAGCTTAAACGCGTGTTGCATAAATCTTCCAACACGTATATTATATTATAAGTTATATTACAAGACGTTTGCGGTCTAGTGATTTCTCGTAGAACAACGAGTTGGATAATCTGTAATTGTTAATGTCTCTGCAAAATACTCTTATAGTATTTTCGTTCTTATTAGTATGCGCTACGTGTTACGTTCCACTTGGCGACCCGAAAAGAAGCTCCGTTCCACTGGGTGGCACGCAAACTTTAAATGTTATTGTACATCGATACCTGCGTGTGCGCGTGTAAGTTAGCTGGGTATAAACGTCGTTAGGGAGAGAATGTGAGAAAAATGTGTTGCCTTTGGCGTATTTTCTTTTAAATTTTCCAAGACACTTACCAAACAGCCCGCCCTGATCGTCTCGGACGGTGCGAGGGGGCAGACACCAACGTTATTTACCGTTGCTGCTTTCCTCCGCCGTATTTGCCTCTGGAGTCGCGGGCCTGAGTCGGTTCGGCCGACTGCCAGCTGGACCCTACTTTGCGATGCGTCCATCGTGACAGCGGTAAGCATAACGTGCTGCTACTTCTACTGCTAACTAGCTTACGGTTTCAAATCCGCTACGTGAACTGTTTCTATTACTGCACCGCCATCGAAGACGCATTAGTGAGCCAACAACGTTTTTCGCATCGCTGTTTCTTTATGTGGCACGATCGCGTTTCTCTAAAAGCCACCCGCTTTCATCATTAGCGCCACCCGCGTCATCACCGTCAACATCTCGTACGAAAGAAGACTGCGATGGCAGCGACGACGACGACGACAATGTTTTTGCCTATCGCACCTGACCCCGTCCGTTTCTTTCGTTCACCCCCCGTTCCTCATTTACAGTGCTTATACTCTTGACTTTTTAATGCTTTTAGTTGTGCATTAAATAATCAACAGAAGTATTAGCTCGTCATGGCATCACTGATACGATCATTGATGCTGACCGACTCGAGCGCTATACGGCAACGTTTACCGCGTCGCACGACGCGACTCGCATGTATTTTCCTCTCTTGGGTGGGATATGCTCTTTAATTTTGGCGCTGTTCCTTCTTCCGTGCACTGAGCTTACTAGTACTTGTGTGTGACGGCGGAAAGCTAAGGGAACGAGGCTACAATATTGAGTAAATGTGTTTCGCGTAGTTCGCTGCCGGTCTATGTGTCCTAGTATGTAGGTACATATACGAGGGTGTATTCTCGTCGTAGTGGGGTGTCCCGATGCTGGCCGAATAGTGACCTGCAACTGGATGGCGCGTCAACCAGCGTTCGTCGTTGATTCAGCTAGCGCTGATTCACTCGTGCCGATTTATTTTGTCTTGTTTTAGTTGGCATGAGACTTGTGGTCGAAACACAGTTGTTCCAACAAACGTTCTGCTTCACTCTTTTCAGCGCAACGCTGATCGGTGTTGATCAACTGTTTCTAGCGGCTCCAAAGCCTGGAAGGTACCCAGAGAGGGAGCGGTTTGCTTCTTTCGATGCGATTCGACACGGTGATATTAAAAAGCAATGAGACACCTGTCAGAAAATAATATAGATAAAAAACATATTTGTATCTCGGGAACATGTAGAAGGAAGAGCGGGGTCAGTACGCATGCGCGTCACAGCCAGAGAGATCAACGTTGGTGATGATAACCGTGGCGGGCTAACAGGCAAGGCTCTTCTTCTTGCTGCTGCTTTTGCTGTTCTGGGCATTATAGTTATATCAGCAGACCCCCAGAAGCAATCCATGTTGAACTCGAATGTATACTACCTGGTGAGTAAAAAATACTTACTCATAAAGCGAGCGCCATTGTTGTAGCCGCTGCTGCAGCCTGTGGCGGCATCAGCGCTTTTACCGGCTATTTTAGACAACTCAAACGAACAATTAGCAATATACTGCGGGTATCTGACAGGTGCGCGCTAGTTCTTGATGAATCGCTACCGGGATCACAGGATAGTTCTCGTCTAGCTGAAACATTCGGTGATAGAACTATATTTCAGCCCGCAACACTTTTGAGGGCCGCATGTAATACATAGGATGTTATCGTCTCAGATGGTCACGCGTTGAGTGTGCGTATCTGAATTCTGCTTATATACCTCGATATAACTTATCTGTGTGTATATTTCGATCCAACAAGTTCGCTCCTCGCAGTCGTTGAGGCAGTAGCAACGTATGACAGACGAACACTTATTGAACAGAAGGACAGCTGGAGATAATTCGGAGCACCTAATTTTCTTGGATTATATTAACATATTTTGTTCGTTTGAGCAGGGCTTAATATAGCACTTAAAATTAACAAGGAGTAACAATAGGAACTTACGTGCAACATTCAAATATCTTCGCTTCGTTACCAGAGCGATTAAGAACGCTTCATTATCTTCACTCAGCGTCGAAGTAGTGAATTATCAGTGCAACGGATCTGTCGCTTTCCAATTAGTAAATCTTCAATACTGCACAATGCTTCCCTACGGTCTTTTCACTATCGGAAACATATTATAGCAAACTTAAGTATATCTCCTTTGTAAATACTCCTTTAAAGATTTATCAAAGGAATTCAAGGGAATCCAAATAGCGAATGAAGCCCCTGGCAAAAATCAGATGTCGAGAAGCCTCTTAAAAGCTTAGAAGGACATACGAACGACACCACTGATTAGGCTACCTACCTACGAATGCTAGGAATAACACGTTTTACAACTTTTTGGCGAGGCATAACATGAAAGTAGCACTTAATTTCCACTATATTTTCGTTATTTTTGGCCAAAACACACCTATTCGCATCGCTCACCGTATACAGGGACCGTTCAGTCGCGTGATGCTGACGATAAACCCCCTGTCTTTTTTTTTTTTAGGAGTTTTAACTCTATTAACGCTAATCGTTGGTTGGTCTCATGGAATTCATTAAATAGGCGGAATTTTACCCGCCGTATCGTTCATACCTGTTTAATTGGAAACGGCTAATTGTAAAGTATACGCTGCGTTCGCTTATTGCCGGCTCGTCTTTGAGATATCTATGAATTTGAACCAACAGAATCGTTTTCTCGGTGAACGATATACGGTAGCGTAATCTATTGGATGAACGGTCAAATTACTTCTGTAGTTTTTATTACGAAAGCGGTTTTCTGTTGCAGCTATTGCACATTAGGATCTTCTGTCGTGAAGTAGCAGTCGTCCGAAGAACCGACCGGGGCTCTACAAAACCCCAATCTTTGTTTGGGGTAAGACATAGATCTTAATTTTCTTAACAAAGGGAAACTTTTTTTTCTCACGCACATAGTAAATTGCTCATTGAGCTGACGCCCGAGCGATAGGACTTCTTTTTTTAATTATAATTAATTTTAAATTGAGCTCGCATATATAGATAAATGACCACACGCTTCAAAGGGTCATTTTTCAGTCGTTGACTAATGTTTTTTTTTTTTCGAATAGATTTTATATTTACGCTTATTTGATTTACAGTAATTGAGTTTTTGCTACGCTAGTAGCCAGAGGTCCGTCTGAGGCTACATTTAGGTAATGGCTCATTAAGGCAGCTGTCCTACCGTTCATCAGCCATCATACCGAAAATACGTTAAAGATCTCTATCGATACATTTACGCCAGACAGGCCTTTTTTTAGGCAGCCTCACATAGCAGTGTAATCTTTCGGTGGCTTGTCGTTTAACGATGTACCAATACCAGCAGTGCCTATAACGGCTAAGGACAACATTGAATTGCTATCGTCCTTGCCGAACAACTGCCAACGACGATATCTTTGCACCAATGAAGCTGATGTTAGCAGTGGACAAACAGGATTGCTGTTTTTGCCAGTTCTCCTCTCGGAATACCGCACCATTTACTCATTGTTACTGCTTCTATGGAACGAGCTACGAAATTAACGAACGCCGCTAACAGCAGGAAAGCGAAAAATGCCGCCTAGCAAAGCGTCTGATTTCGTCCAATTGCTAGTCAGCTCTAGTGGAAGCAATCGGAGGAGCTGTTGTACAGAGAACATATAATCGCTATGCCACGCATAGGCAAACACGATCAGCGTCCGTATCGGCACAGGCGACGACTCCGTTGCCACAAGCGACCGGTACACAGGTGTATCTTTTTACAACGCAACAGCGGCAGATACGCTAGCAGAAGCAGCAACCTCGACAACAACAACAACAACAACAACAACATTTGTTGCTTCTGCTACAATAGTCAGCAAATCAACAACATCAGCCGGGCGACAGTAGCAGACGCGACAGCGGAAAGCAACGGCAAAAGTTCCAGGAAAAGGATGTCTGAATGGAAGCCCACTCTGGCCCTTTCGACCACCTATGCGCCCAACTCCCGTTCGTTTGCTGCTTGATTCACCCGTTTCCCGCAGAATTCCAACGGCTTGAAATTCCGTGCCGGCCATTGGCTTCATACCTCGCTTTTCTTCCTTCGCATATGATCGTTCGTCGTTGTCTGCATTGCTGTTGTCGTCGGCTCCTTCGTTCAGTTTCGTCGAATAGACGTTATGTATGTATAATAGCTTTACGAACGTACGCGATGCCCAGAGTTCGTTGCGGTCAAAGTGTAGACTCCTGCAAACTGAAGTCAGCGGAAACAACAGGAGCAGACGTCGCAACACCAACAACAGCCACAGCATGGGAGCACCGTGGCGGTAGAGGTTCGAATTCTTTCCGAACGCGTTGGTCGTACTGTTGCAGAGTAAACAATGCGCAGGGACATGAGATATATGCACTGATTGACTGACTGTACACTATATATCTTTGACTTTGCTTGTCGTACACACAAGCATGTACACAGATAACTTGTTCGATTGTGAGCCTCAGCTCATGAGAAAACATATGCTTGCTTTTACGGAATAGCTAGCAATGTTGCGTGATATTGTGATATCATATGATGGGTATCTAGGTGTCTGGGAGCTTGCATCTTGTCTCCGTCCGGATCCGTACAGGGTGTTCACGAGCGACCCTCGGCCCGCATCATTCACGTATGGGAACAGTGTATATGGATGGGTGTCAATGGCGGGCTTTTCTCTGAATCAGCTGATTGTGACTAATTTACCAATGTGCGACACAATGACTCAAACGATACATATGCCCGTGAAGGTAGCAATTTGCTTGCGACGGTGATATTATAACAGCAACGCGCTGGTAGTAGTCGAGGCACACTCACACACATTAATGCACCAGTGACTACCATGGTGACGTTATATAGGCACGTTGAAATGGGCCTATTGGTTACTATCACGACAGTTTTTGTTGGTATTTACGTAGAAAAATGCAATGAAACTAATTTAAGCAGTTGGTATCCCGACTGCCTGCTATTGCTAATGTCGTTTTCGACAAATGCCCATCACTCTGTTATATAACGTCTTCCCCACGTAGTCCATATACATCTACATATATGGAGAGAGAGAGAGAGAGAGAGAGAGAGAGAGAGAGGTGCAAGGTACAACAATCAGGCACCGTCGTTTCAGAATTAGCTATGTCCTATCAGCGGCGCTTCGCTAATACGCCTGTCTTAAAAGACGGCATGCGTCGTCGCGAGATTGCTTGGAAATTATCAGAAAGCCGCAAACCACGTTAAAGCTTGAATATTAGAGCAAGACTAATTGCAAAAAAGTATATTACATAAATCTAATTATTGCTTTTCTTTGAAACAATCAATTTACTTATCAAAAATAAAGACACACAAGGTCACAATGTTGCTTATCGCTATGCAAGATGATAACGCTTGAGATACCCTAGGGGTAAACATCTATAGCATTTCGCCAGCGCGCCGTTAGGTTAAGTTCGAGCAAAGAGCCTTTTCATATTCCTCTCTGTAAGATTGGGCCTCAAATCAAACAAGTCCCTAGTTTTCAGTAGCCTTCTAAGCATACCTCCAATCTACAATCCTATGTAGATCTGCTACGATTTCACTAAAATTGTTACAGCTTTCTTTCAACGTTACATTCAAATTCCGTAATACTTGTAGTTTGTATAAAAACCTACTTCGTATCCTTTTAGGACGAGCAAGCTCGCTATCGATTGCGATGGGCACCATATCTTACTAGTATAACCACTTCCACGATCGGACAGCATAGGGCTCATCTTACATAGTGTAATATACATATATATACGTTATTCAATACCGTTATTCAATAATATAATAATATACAGTATTCAATACCTCAGTACCTAGTTGTTTCCATGGCAAGCGAACACGGACTAGCCACAGGCATACTTTTTTCAGCAAAGTTGAAAAGTGTCGCTCTTTTAAACCTCTAATTGCATCAAACTTGTTTAAAGTTTGTCTTTAAAAGCTTTTCCTGGGAGCCTTTGAGCCTGGATGCCTTACCTCAGATTTATATTTGTTAGCCTAAAACCCATTTCGACAGACCAAGGTGCAAAGTTTCTTGTAGTATCTTGTAAGTTTACTTCATTTATCAAAGTCGTACGTTTTGGGCGACTCTGTGTTGATACATCTTTTTTTTTCATAAAGAATGCTACGTATAGTGGCCTTGCTATTTCAAGATGAGCACTGATAGCTTCTAACCAAAGCCCAACAGCGAATAAGCATGTCATGCTCCCTGGACATGTGTAAATCTAGAAAAAAAAAAAACTCTACAAAATTTTTCATTTACCTTTAGTTTTTTTAACAAAAGGTAAACACACTGTAGCATCCCGTGACGTGGTCCAGAAGGACGAAATGGGAGGTACCACAGAGGTGCCAAAAAATTTCATACGACAATGAAAATTGTAAAGAGGTATAGCAAATGCTTTCCGGAGCCAGTATATTGCTCAGTGAATTTTTTTACGTGCTTTTCCGGCAAAGCGATTTACTACCGCCGACGCAGGAACCTAAAAGCAATGACACAAATATGCACGAGCGCACCATGCAAGACAATGATGTGGCAGAAACGTGAAGATCCAAATCATCTACTTCTCACCTGATTTCCATTCTTTTCCTTATACTTCACGACACTTCGAAACCTGACATAGACTTGCAAAAAGAAAAAGGCGAGAAATTTCAACTGATTCCAAATACAAGCAAGCTATAGTCAATTTTCAGCCGTTATCTGTCGTTCGTTACCTATGGTCATCGTTAGTAGAGTATTCAATTGTAGCTCACAGAAGTGGAAAGTCGGAAAATGGCGGCATTTTTTGGATGCGCCTTTTGTTGCCGAAAAAGAGAAACGAACTGCTCGTTGCCCTAGCTAGCAATGGTCTCCGTTCTAGCCGAGGATGATCATCGACCCAGCGCGATTTCGCCGCCATCTTTGGCGGGATAGATAAACTCGGGTCCACTGAGCGAGAAAGTATTGATCAGCGAAGACTATTTATTAAGCTGCTAGTTCCGACGGTCGCCATCACAGGGATCAGTGGCAGGCTTAAGCCAAGTCGAATCGAACTGAACCACCTAAGACGATTCCTAAAGGGCAATGTTTCGCTATGCGCTGTTATATATTTTCTTAGATTGAAGATCGTAGTTGTAGCATTACTCATGCCGTTAGGCTTGCATGCTGTATATTGCTACCGCCGCTGTCGTTATTGCCGTCGCTGCCGTAGATGCAACAACTACGATGGTTACTACAGCAGAGTCTCCCATCACGATGTATCAATGTATTTCGTTTGTATTGTCGACGGCGGTGGGCTCACGGGTTCTTCAGCGTTTGCGGACCGGATCCGCTGCCGCTGCC